TCTCTCTCTCTCTCTCTCTCGGGATCATGGCAAGAGGTTTCCAGCTGATAGCTAGAACTTCGTTTCGTCGAAGTTTTCCGCTCCAAACAGAATCGGCTCTTCCAATACGGTCGCCAGGAATTCGTCTTTGATCGACGCGGAACTCTCGTCAAGTGTCTCTCGTGTGAATAAAGTTAACCGAGAAATAAGATACAAGACTCCGAGATATAATATTGCGGAGGAAATGGCAAACCATTGTACCAATGCAGTGAAAAACAACGAAAGTAAAAAGTGAACGACGTGACACGAGTTTACAACATCCACGTGAAAATTGCTAATCAGATTTCTTGAGCAAACTAAGCGAATAAGAAAAAAGAAAAAAAAAATTGGGAACCAATAGGATGAGAGAATAGATTGTATGGATTGTACATTGCATTCTTGCATTATCTAGGAAGCTTAAAGTCTCTGCGATCCTCGAGAGAGGCGCAGTGACAAAGATCAATGTTATCCACTCTCGAGACCTAGGACTACAATATGCTATAACTAGAGGTTTCTATTTGGGTCCTTGAAGTCCAGTGTTGAAAGATGGGGATTTCTTGTTTCGCTAGATTAACGAAGGTATCTCGAAAATGTCGACAGACAGAAATTTCATTTCGATCCGACACTCTGTTTGCAAAATTTCCTAGTATTCACCTTCATGACTCGAACAAAATTTTTGTTGTGAGCAATTATATCAAGTTATGTCAAATTTTTAATTTAATTGCGTTATTTTTTCCCACAATTAGTTGACTCGTAACTTTATCCTCTGCCACGATACATTTTCATGGCTCCAAAAAATACAATTACTTCAATATAATAATAAATTCCATACACTATTCTATGAAAATTAGTAGAGTACTAACAATAAGTGACACTATGATTCTCAATTTTGCTATGATTCTAAATTATTTTATTCACCTCAGAGTTAGAGAGGCAAAACAAAATCTGATTAATGATTGACGATTGTGATTGATGTGGAACCAGAATATTAATCATGGTTATCAGATAATCAATAATCATTTATTAATAACCGAGGGAAATAATGAAAATCATTAATCATAAAATGATTGTATTTTTGATTGGATCAGTAGTTCACTTCTATCAACAACACTGTGCATATTTTGTAGAAGTTAACAGATTATTTGCATTGTCTTGCAATATGTAAAACTTTATCAAGATGTGTCATAAAATTTAAAGTTCCATATATACTGTTCTTGACTCGTTGTTGGCACAATCTTCTCAATGAATGATCAAAATTATGAGATACGCATTTATTCTTATACCAAAAGTATATCGTGAACTTTAACAAATTATTCAAAATTTAACAACACAGATACTGCGAGTGGTTTAATAATAATATTTAGTTATTATTGA